GTAGCATAGCAAAAGAAATATTTTGGGTGGGTTTGTGTGAAGGCAAAGTGATGTCAGCCACACTTTATGTACATTCGGGTGTGCATTTGTATCTCTACAGGTATATATGCTTATGAATAACTGAAACTTGAAAATATCTGAACGAACAGCAAAGGAAGGGGGGTGCAGCTCTCTCTCTCCTTTTCCAGTGATGACTCAGAGATGAGACATCAAGCTGCTAAAAAGTATACAATACGCAATAACACTACATTACCCACCAACATAAGCGAGAGAATAGAGTAGGCTAGCCTTTGAGTTCTTACTATAAAGCTCTTCATTTGTGTGTAGTCATATGACAGGTTTTTGGTCTCAAGGAGCAAGGTAGTTTCCTGAAAGCTAGAAAAAAATTAAGAATTTGTATTAAGACAGCGTTAATCAGTGTATTTCGTGAATGGTACTTACGTAGTGATTATGAATAAACTTTATTTATTAAGTGTGTAAAATACACATTCTGCATTTGCAGTAGTTCAGAGGAAAGTACCATTTGTGACTGTAAATCTCTAATGCTGGATGGTTCATTCACCACATTCACTGTTATGCATTTCTGTTAGCAATAGAATGCAGATTATAAATCCATTCCCTTGTAGATAGCACGACTTTTGCCGTCTGCATCCTACGCCAGTCGCCTTGACTTGAGGATTGCCTTTGTGAAAGGGTCATGCTGCGTGGGTTGCATAGGAAAGATGCTGTAAGGAATACTTGATTTCAAAAAAAAATATTTCTCAAGTTAACAAGTAACTGTCTAGTAACGGCATCTATTTTTAGCTCATTTATAACACTTTCAAGGGAGCTACCGTGCATATTTTTAGTACTATATCAAGGTAGGTTTTTTGCTGCTGTAACAGAGTTTTTTAAAAAAAAGAGAAATTTGATTTTTTTCAGATGATCTGCTGCACCTTGAGCACCTAAATTCCTTTTAGTTTGTAGCATGTCAATCAGGCTGATTGCACATATTCTATGTGTGCGCTTTCAGTTAGCCACGATCCTGGAAAAAATATCCTTCAACAAATTCATGCATTTTGCTCGTGTCAAAAGCCCTCAAAAATATACATACATAAATGAGTCATTATTTTTACAGTTGCATCAATTTACTACGTTGCCGTAAATACCATTTTTATTAGGTATATTCCAAAACCATCTTTGGAAAAAAATGTTTTAACGCCCTCCGACTCAGTCAGCGAAAAACTACATATCCTTATAAATACGCAGGAAAGTTTTTGGCAACGAAAACAAACGAGCAGGACAACTTTCGAACTTCAAAAAACACGTGAAAATTATTTCTGCTATAGTTGTGGTGGTCGGAAACACGCTGGATGATTTGAAATGACCCAACAGCGCGCAAGCATGCTAGGTGACGTCAGTGAGGATTTATTAGTGTGTAGTGTAAGATCTGGTGTTGTAATCCTGCATTTTTAAAATTTTGTTGGGTGTGTGCCGCTTCGCCCCATTGTCTATTTAAATGGAATACGCTAGAGAAGTTGAAGCTTAGAAAATTTTTAGTGTATTCATTAGAAAGCATTAGCTGAACATACATAAAAAAAATGAGACAGAAAAAGCTGTTTGCTTGTTCTGTCCAGTTATCTAATGTATGTTGTGTTAGTACTTTTAATGCATTACCCATTTCTGTGGCATGTGCGTTGTTTTATATGTTCATGGATGCTATCTTTGAGCTTGATTGATATGGTCGCCAATAGTACCAAAGCAACAAAGTTATTATAGTACACGTTTCAACCTCTCTTGTACTGTTGTGATTTGAAGCTAATTTGACATAGTCTGGTGAAATTGGCTTTGCTGATACTTGAAAGCTGATCCAGTAGTGCCTTGAGGTTTTTTCATTTTCTTAGACAAGAATATAGGTGCATCCATTTAATGCATTTGAGTATTGCCCATTTATTCTATATGTTAGATGTGTGCTACCAAAAAAATGTCCAGAAATCTCTAAGGAAACTTTAGTCACTGGTATATAATTTAATTCAAACAAGTGCTGCAAGTTCATTTTTTGACACATTGTAATTAAGTTCTACATATATGTTCTTGGGCATATTCATCTACAGCACCAGAGCTCCAGAAATGCACTTTTTACTACATCAGGTGGTCTTCTAATCGAAGTTTTGCAGATTTCTAGTCAGATGCTGTAATATGATTGGCAAAATTTGAATATCTGTATTTCATTATTTTTTTTTACTTTTCTACTTTATACTACAAATATGTGAACATTTTGTATTTGTAGTGTTTGTACTTTAGTGCTTTATGTGGTGGTAATTGTTGTGCTCATGTTGTACAAATTCTGTGATCAATAATCATGCTTACTCCTGGAAAATGAACAGAATAGTTGTACTTTGTGTGTAATTTAACCTCCATAATAATAAATGTACAAGTCTTCAGCCTATGTGCTCTCGTAGGGCATAAACATGAACTCTGAAATAATCCGTATTTTGCTTTGATGTTTAGGCTGTAAATAGGCTTTTCTTTTTTCGCGTCTAATTTTTTTTAGAATGCAGCCTGCAGCCTTGCAAGAATTCTTGCTCAGAGGGAATTCCGACTCCAGTGGTTACTCCCATTCAATACCAAAAGTACTCCCAAGAGAGGCGAGCTAAAACGCCCTAGATTCTACCTATTTACACTGAAATAGAATAAAAAGAAGACAAAAACAGCGTGGTCACGTTACTCAAATGCTCCCGCTCTGCCTCTTGCAAACGCCAACAAGGGGGTAAAATAATGCCCTAACTACGCCGAAAATACTTCAAAGTAAGAACCATAAAACTTCGAATTCGTTTTCACTGAGCCACAAAAGGAGTAAAGTTTTTGCCCAATGTACGCCCTTTATATGCCCTACCACAAGGGCGCTTTTCTTTACTCCCATTTCGAGGACGTAAAAACATGTACAGATGGGAGTGATCAAGAGGACAAGCCAAAAAGTACCATTTGGGTTCTTTTTTTGTTGTTGTTTAGAGTGTCATCATCATCATCAGCCTGACTACGTCCACTGCAGAACAAAGACCTCTCCCATGTTCCGCCAGTTAACCCAGTCCTATGAGTGCTGCTGCCAATTTATACCCGCAAACTTCTTAATCTCATCTGCCCACCTAACCTTCTGTCTCCCCCTAACTCGCTTGCCTTCTCTGGGAATCCAGTTAGTTACCCTTAATGACCAGCGGTTATCCTATCTGCGCGCTACATGCCCGGCCCACGTCCATTTTCTCTTCTTGATTTCAACTATGATATCCTTAACCCCCGTTTGTTCCCTAATCCACTCTTCTCTCTTCTTGTCTCTTAAAGTTACACCTACCGTTTTTCTTTTCATTTCTCAACTTGTCGTCCTCAATTTAAGCTGAACCCTGTTTGTAAGTCTCCAGGTTTCTGCTCCGTAGCTAAGTACTGGCAAAATACAGCTGTTATATGCCTTCATCTTGAGGTATAGTTGTAATCTACCTGTCATAATTTGAGAGTGCTTGCCAAATGTGCTCCACCCCATTCTTATTCTTCTAGTTACTTCAGTCTTGTGGTTCGGCTCCACGGTTATTACCTGTCATCAGTAGACATAGTTTTTCACAACTTGAAGTGCACTATTACCTTTCTCGAAGCGCTGCTCTCTTCCAAGGCTGTTGTACATTACGTTCGTTTTCTGCAGAATAAATTTAAAACCTACTTTTCTGCTCTCCTTGTCTAACTCCATAATCATGAGTTGCAATTCTTCCCCTGAGTTACTCAGTAATGCAATGTCATCGGCGAAGCGCAGGTTACTAAGGTACTCTCCATTAACTCATCCCTAACTGTTCCCATTCTAGGCTTCTGAAAACCTCCTTTAAGCACGTGGAAAACAGCATTGGGAGATTGTGTTCCCCAGCCTTACACCCTTCTCGATTGGTATTCTGTTGCTTTCTTTATGAAGCACTATGGTAGCAGTTGATCCCCTGTAGATTTCTTACAGAATGTTTATATATACTTTATCGACGCGCTGATTCTGCAGTGTCTGCATGGCGGCTAATATTTCTACTCAATCAAACGCCTTCTCGTAATCTATGAAGGCTATGTAGAGTGGTTTAGAGTGTAGTTGGGTAAAAATTGGGAATTCTGAATTGTTATTTTGTCTTTATTATTCCTATTTATCTATTGAAAGAGAAGCGATTGCCTTCAATGTCAAGCGTAAGCCAAGTAAAGGCCCCCTTGTCTGAATTCTGGACGCGCGATTTTGTTTTTCCTACATATACGGAATGGCCAGTGAATGGTTGTGCAGCGCAAGAAGTCGTTTTTTTTACTAGCAGACGCTGTCTGCATCAGCTTTGTGAGGCAAGAGAGGTGAAATAGACATGATCGCCAACATGCGGGTTTCGGCACGAGGCGCTAGCACGTGGCGCAAGCAGCGAGACGCGAGCATGCGCAGTGTTCGTGCGGACGGTGCCACCACCGACGCCAAAGCGCGACATCGTGCGACTTAAAAATGCACTGCATTTAAAGTTTGCCACCATGGTGGCTTGATGGCTATGGCACTGCACTGCTAAGCGGGAACACAACTGGTTCAGTTCCAGGCCGAAGTAATACCTTTCGATAATGGCAAAATGCAAAAAACATAAGAAAGAAAACAGCTTGGGTACTTAGATTTAGAGGCACATAGCAAACGGGCTCAAAATAATCCGTAGTCCCTAGCAGGGTTGGCTTCATCACGCAGTTTTGGCCTGTAACCCCCCTCCCCCCAATTACATTATCAATGCTTTTGTGCTCTCTGAGCTTGTGGTTACGCTTTTTACCATTTAATTCCTTACCTTACCCGTACCATTGCTTTCTGAATTGACAATAGTATTGCGAAATTATTAAAACTAAAAAGTGACCACAGGTGCACTGAAATTTGGCGCATTTGTATAAATAGTAGCTCTCTGTTTGGGAACTGTAGGTCCCCGTTTGGCACTGCACGATCAAAATGTCGCACTTTTAACTGATCTCTTCCTTTTCTGTTCTCGCAGATTGTCGCGATAGTCTGCGGAGTACTACATTTGGCTCAATTCATCTACTCGCTGATCAAGAACTGGTGACAGGTGGAAAGCTGGTCGCCTGCGCAAGATGAGGCCTTCTGTGATGTTATGCTACCGGAGTTACGACAAAATCAAACTGGGCACATACCAAGCAGGGGCCTAACGCAGCGATCACAAAATTTTCTACATGCTTTGAGGCGCAGCCGAAAAATATTACACAAATGGTGGCCTATGATCATTTTCTGCTTTCGTTCAGTCATTGCAATGCATTTTACATACCATTGAACACTGTGGTTCTTACAGGTATCACTGCTTTGCGTATGTGTAAAAATACGTATTTTTTTCATTCTGGCGGTTTATGCAAAGATGGAAACCTAAGCAGGGATTCGGTGCATTAGTCGGGCTAAATAATTAGGGACCTATGTTTTTTTTGTTTTTTTAGTTTGCTTGCATGCTTTTCACATAATGCATTGCTTTCACACACGGCCCAAAGGGCATTCGAACAGCCGTACCTCCTTATTTAATCAATCCCAAATGTTTGAGAAACACCTCTGTTACCTAACGGATCTAATGCACAGAAATCCCTAGTTCTGGAAACAGTAAAATTGAAAATTTGTACGTCATGACGTAAGAAAATGCTTATGTACATAATTTCCACTCGTATGACTATCAGCAACTGAAAAGCTGTTTAACTAGGGAACATGTACATGAAAAGTAGATTTTTTATTTACAGTACCTTATGGAGCCCTCGCGAGCATTGTGTAAGGGGGGCGATACAGATGATAAGCGAGAACATTATATATATATAAGTAAATATTTATTATTATAGGAAATACAATTTAACTAATGAAAATATCCGCACAATACATACAAGAAAGGTAGGTTACAATATGCGACGCCCCACCGCGGTGGTTTAGTGGCTAAGGTACTCAGCTGCTGACCCACAGGTCGCGGGATCAAATCCCGGCTGCGGCGGCTGCATTTCCGATGGAGCCGGAAATGTTGTAGGCCCCTGTGCTCAGATTTGGGTGCACGTTGAAGTACCCAAGGTGGTCAAAATTTCCGGAGCCCTCCACTACGGCGTCTCTCATAATCATAGGGTGGTTTTGGGACGTTAAATCCCACATATCAATAAAATCTATTAATCTGTGCACAAGTACTTTTTAAGGGTATGACAGAACTTTGTGTGCTGCATTTCCGATGGAGGCGGAAATGTTGTAGGCCCGTGTGCTCAGATTTGGGTGCACGTTAAACAACCCCAGGTGGTCGAAATTTTCGGAGCTCTCCACTACGGCATCTCTCATAATCATATGCTGGTTTTGGGACGTTAAACCCCACATATCAAATCAGAACTTTGTGTGGTCTTGCTCGGACGCAAGGCCATCTGGTAAATCATTCCACAAACGAAAGCTCGTGGAAGAGCCCATTTGTTGAAAGCGTTAGTACCGCCGCACATTCGGGATAAACTAAAGCTGTTATGTAGTCTGCTCGAAGTTTGATGAGATAGATTACGCTGAACAGCTGGCGTCATGCTAGTGTGGATAACTTTGTGGAATAACGTTAAAAGAGAAATGCGGTGGCATATTTTCGGTGGTGACCTTATTGAAGGCGTAAAGGAGAAATACAAAAATAATTTGACAGTAAATAGAAACTAACAATAGTCTGATAAAAGTTCGATGAGCTATATTAAGCTGAACAGATGTAGCAACCAGCAATGTAGTCTACTTGAAATTCGATGAGCTACATTAAGGTGAACAGATGGCATCATGCTGGTGTGGATAACTTTGTAGAATAATGATAAAAGCGAAATGTGGCAGCCAATTTTCAATGGTGACTAAATTGAGGGCCTGGAGGAGAAATACAAGATCATTTAACAGTAACTACAAACAAGCAATAGTGCAAACGAGAAAGAACACTTAAGGGTATGAAAGAATAATGATGAAAGGGTATCGTAAAGGTAGGTGCAAAGTGACTGCACTGTGACTTGCAGCAAGAGCCCATAACGTCCGTTGAGGCCATAAGGGGAGAGGGGTGAATGCAATGCGACCACTTCATTCATGTTTTTGAAGGATAAATAGGTTTATGTGGCACAAGTGCGCCTCTATTGGTTAACAGTTCATGGTATACCGTTAAGATTACAATTACACATAAAATTTGCGGTATACTGGGCGTATATTGGTCATAGTTTTTCGCTGAACAAATCTGTAAAATCTAATAAAATAGTACTGTGATAAGCAGCATGTGCTAATTACGTAAAAACAATTGTATTTGCCTCGTAAGTCACAATGAACTTACAACCATATCTCGCATGCGCAAGCATATCGCTTGCCTACACCTTTTATACTATAGCTTCCATCCTGCTGCAACCAGTTTGCAAGAGTGCGCATAGGAACGTACGGCGTAGTGGGATAAACGAGTGCAGCAATAACAAGATTACACGTGTACAGGATTTCTCAGCGAATACTTTTTGAAAACTTGGAGGACGCTTGAGCTTCACCTTCAAGAGTATGGAATGCGATAGCGCAATAAGGCACCACGTACATCATCATCTCAAACGCTGCCCTGGCTTCGATTTTGGTGGGCACATGGACAGCACTGCAAGGAAAGGAGCACTCGTGGTCATTTATGTCTGAGCTCAGTGTGATGTGTGGCTCTATGAACCACCCACTCGTCAGGCAATCCTACTTTTTTTCACGCGTGGAGCAATTTACTTTTCTGCCGGGCAATGTCACATTAGTTAGGGATACTATTCGCTGCATGACATCTGCACATGTTTTTGAGAATAGAGGTATCTTTAAGAGCATGACAACAATAACGTAACATTCAGCTTCTCGTTTCAAGCAAGTATTATCATCATCATAAATTCGTACGCGTTCGCTTTGTCCTCTTCGACTTCTGCTTCACTCCCACAATACAAGTGCCGTTATACCCGACGTGGAATATAATAACTAGAAACCGGATCATAGGAAAATGCCCATTGTGTTTCTTACCTCCCTGTCATGCCACTTCAATATATTAGTATGATGTAGAGGTGAAGAAAGGCTTTTACAGTGTTTTACAGTGTCTATAAATGCCTATTTTTATGTTAGTGCCTAAATTTCCATAAATGCCTCAAAATTCTAATTTTCCAAATCAGTGCCTATATCAATGCCATTTACCTCAAATTTTGCATTCAAGTGGAGAGTAAGACCGATATTCATGTTACCGGGAGGAATTTAGCTTGCTAAACTGACTGGGGTGCTACCTGTACTCCACCTTATAAGTTCCTTTCAGCTCTGTCAAAGCTACAAGGCCTCTTAGCCAACACAAAGGCTGATTACCGTCTTCACATGCGTTGATCCGTGTCACATCGTCTGCTCGGCATCTCTCCGAAGTCTTTTAGCGGAGGTATTTTTAAGAGCATGAACAACAATAACGTAACATTCAGCTTCTCGTTTCAAGCAAGTATTATTATCATCATAAATTCGTTCGCGTTCGCTTTGTCCTCTTCGACTTCTCCTTCACTCCCACAATACAAGTGCCGTTATACCCGGCGTGGAATATAATAACTAGAAACCGGATCATAGGAAAATGCCCATTGTGTTTCTTACGTCCCTGTCATGCCACTTCAATATATTAGTATGATGTAGAGGTGAAGAAAGGCTTTCACAGTGTTTTACAGTGTCTATAAATGCCTATTTTCATGTTAGTGCCTAAATTTCCATAAGTGCCTCAAAATTCTAATTTTCCAAATCAGTGCCTATATCAATGCCATTTACCTCAAATGTTGCATTCAAGTGGAGAGTAAGACCAGTATTCATGTTACCGGGAGGAATTTAGCTTGCTAAACTCACTGGGGTGCTACCTATACTCCACCTTATAAGTTCCTTTCCGCTCTGTCAAAGCTACAAGACCTCTTAGCCAACACAAAGGCTGATTACCGTCTACACATGCGTTGATCCGTGTCACATCGTCTGCTCGGCATCTCTCCGAAGTCTTTTCGCATGCATAAAACTCAGGTGCTTCGGTGCAGCTGCTGGGCGACGAAGAACGAATGCAAAACTGTGGAGTGTCGTGCGGGAAAAGTAGACTGTAGATTAAAAATAAGTTTTGTTTGTAACACACTTATTACAGGGCGCTTTATTGGGTCGCATGAAAAATTTTAACCAGATACTGGAAGTTGTTCCATATCTAATGAGAAGCTTCGCATCACTAGAATTTTCATTGCTTCATTACAAGCCACGAAAGCAAGAGGAGGTAGGCTAGAAACCTTTGGCTTTTGTTCGGTGTACATTTCACCAGCCAAATTACGTCCCTGTCATCGTTGGTATTGGCGCAACTTGGAGCCAGAAGATCTCGTGACGCAGACGCATAAGCAGGTCAGGCGCACACAACGTTACATTCACATGACATGCCCATGCCGGTCATGCACGCAAGCAGTGGTGCGTCATTTGGACGTTCTCTGTATTGTATTGCCTGTTTTGAGGGATAGATCCCTCTGTGCGTGAAGTTTTGGAAAGGCTGGCATGGATCATGCATCCTTACCACGATGCAAAGCATTGCACCACTGAAACAGCTCTAACAGAAGATGCACCGAAAACAAGCCAATAGTTGGGAATTCCGGCACCGGCATGATGCAAGATTGGTGAAACCACTAACGCAAACGAAAAAGATGCAGCTTATAGTCTCACATTTCGCTAGATACAAAGCCAGAAAAAATGATATGCATCAATTCCGTTTAAACGTTTCAATGTTTCTTTCAGCCTTCATACTACTGTTAGGCAACAGAGTGTGGAAATTACACATGTCACCTCGAAAATTCTCGCTGTGTCGCTGTGAGGGCAAGTTAGACTAATTACGGCAACTCAATTATTCGTTGCCAAGATTGATGAAGACATTTGCACGAGAGTGAAAAGATGTCTATGACGCAAGAGATTACGTAAGAGTTAGCGGTAATGAAGCGATGCAAAAGGCTACAATGATTAGCACTGTTCTCGAGTCAATTAACGTAGTTCTTCACTTCTTCACTATTGTGAACAAACAGACCGAAGAGCCACGACGGTAAGAACTGTTTATTTAGATTATTTGAATGTGAACAAAATGATGATATGTCTTTTTTTCTCTTCTAACTGTTCGTCATTTTCTCTTTTATCTTCCTGTTTTTACATCTCCCCGGGGCCTCAACGGATGGTTGCGCGGATGGACAGAAGCAAAAACGAACGGATGA